TTCAAACGGATGCTCTCTCTTACAGCAAAGCCTACAAATACCCGTAGACAACTTTATTGCAACGTGTTAAAGACATACCGGTATTAGATCACAATGGATACTCCTTTTTGTGGCATTCCGAATCAACATTGTGACGGCCTGAACATGTTGGGGAAATGCTGAGAAGGAGACTTACAGATATACATATGTCTTCTTCAGTTTACAAGAGAGGAGTCAAACCCTTCAGACATAGTTTTAGCCTCCGGGCATGAATTTGCAATAAACCTCACAATTATTATAAAAGGAGAGAAAGATATACAAGTACCTGTTCAAATGCAGCAGAGTTGAAGACTGTCGATGATATAAAGGGGAAAACGTTCTACACTAATTCAGAAAACTCAACAGCCTACTGCTTACTTCATGAACATCATGGGAGCCATATGAGCTAGATAATGCTGCATGGAAGTGGACAGGGATGTGAATCAGCATGTGTCTGCTCAGTTGAGAATCTGTACAATTTCCACAATGTCCCAAGGGTTTCCTGGAATTTCACTATGTAGGAATGTGGGCATAGATGTGGGTCAGAGACATGCCTGTGGACATTCCATTCCTGTACAATTCCTAGAATTCATGGGCATGATTGTAGGTATGTGAGGAAAGCAGACTGATTGTGGGGTTGGAAAGAGAGATCACCTTGGCTTGGTTTGAGACAGTCATCACGGGGAGGTACAGATTCGCGGCCTGAGTTCAGAGATTACAAGCCTGGTAACCAGTCTCAGCGGGTCAGCTTAGAGATGTTTTCCGACCCCATCAGGGAAACACGGCGGTCTGTTTCACCACTACAAGGGCTAGTTTTCAGTTTTGTGTGGTTGTCCAAATGGGGACCTTCCACGTGCTTCTTACGGCCTGGCAATCCTTAGAAGGTAATACAGCATCCAATGTATTTATGAATAAAAAGAGCCCTATAGGACACCTGTGTCGATCGTAAAAAGGAAAAATCTTCCTCTGGTGTTGGAACTGTGGTAGATTTGTATGATTTTAATTTTAGGTGATACTTAGGTCTGTTATAAAGGACTATTAAATGTACAGGAAATAATCTGCCATTGAGAATGATTACCCAATAGTTGTCCTATAACAAAATTGATCTAGTCGAAGGATTTGGTTATGCTTACCTAACGTTAACAACCTATCAAGTTGAACGTCAATGTCTGATGTCCGCAAGAAATATTATATTAAACTACATATGAAACCTCACCTATCGAAAATGTTCACAACCAATTCTGTAAAAATGTTCTTGGTGTATTTAGAAATAGTAGCAATGTCGCCTGTAGAGCAGAATTAGGTAGACTTCCTTTAGATACAGATATTTGTATATACTAGTAGTCAAATTCTGGTAATGCTTGGTCCAAATGGACACAACCTCACACTCCCTTCAAACGGATGCTCTCTCTTACAGCAAAGCCTACAAATATAACCTGGTTTCCAAACCTATTATAGCTATTTGCGGAGAGGATGTAGGACTCGGGAGCTATAATAGGTTTGGTAACCAGGCTATACAAATACCCGTAGACAAACTTTATTGCAACGTGTTAAAGACATACCGGTATTAGATCATAACGGATTCTCCTCTTTGTGGCATTCTGATAACTCACATTGTGACCCTGAACATGTTGGGGAAATGCTGAGAAGGAGACTTACAGATATAACGTTACACGTGTCTTCTACAGTTATAAAAGAGAAGTCAAACCCTTCAGACGTAGTTTTAGACTTAGACGTAGCTATAATTTTAGACAACTACCTTTCATTATGTAGATTTTAGTTATTTTATATACTGTTCTTCAATGTTCTTTTATGCTTGTAACTGGCAATTAACCTCCGGGCATGAATTTGCAATAAACTTCTCAATTATTATAATAGGAGAGAAAGATATAATACCTGTTCAAATGCAGCAGAGTTGAAGACTGTTGATGATACATAGGGGAAGACGTTCTACACTAATTCAGAAAACTCACTGCTTACTTCATTAACATCATGGGAGCTATATAGCTATATGAGCTAGATAATGCTGCATGGGAGTGGACAGGGATGTAAATCAGCATGTGTCTGCTCAGTTGTGAATCTGTACAATTTCCACCATGTCCCAAGGGTTTCCTGGAATTTCACTACGTAGGAATGTGGGCATAGATGTGTGTCAGCAAAATCCCAGACATGCCTGTAGACATTCCATTCCTGTGGAAAAAAATGCCTGTGCAATTCCTAGAATTCTTGCAAACTGCACACAATACTGTACCATTAGGCTCCCCCCTGAGGCGTCGCCAAAAACGCTTTGAGTACAATGTAGCTAAGAATAAAATTCCCTACCAACACTGCACTGTGCACTCTGATACTGACACCATACTCATTATTTCAGACGCATCTGAGTAGAACCCCGTTTCAAGGTAAGTCAATACAAACTTAGGCCTGTATCTTATTACATGTCATCCCTTTTAACTGCCATTAGATGCTGCAATAGATACACACTCAACCATTGATCCACTCAAAAGGTAACAGAAACCTGATAATATTTTTTGTCATTGTTTATCACAAAAGGAGGGGCCATAATTTGAGACGTTATTGTATCTATAGCTTAGTGTCTTGACACGGGAGAGGGGTTCTGTTACCGAACTCTGTTAACATGACCTAATTTCTATGAATTGCTTTACAAAGTAGAGCGTTTTGGAGAAAAGCGAGGAAAGGCCATACAAACAGATGTGTTAAAATTCAAACAGTACTACTGATATATTTTCCCTGTACCTCATGTATATTTCGACACATCCTTATACTATCCTGTCTGGCTGTTGACCTAGAATCTGAACATTATGTGTTAGAATCATTAACAAGCCTTGTTCTGTGTTAGGCAAAGTTTAAAAGTCTCATCTTACTAAAGAAAGCTGCTGTTGTACAATATCCTGACTTGCATAATTTATCTGCAAACCGGAGCCACCTGCAGCTGGACAGCTGCCTAAGGCCTTGTTCACATGAAACCAACAGAACCGGGATGTGGGTTACTCGCATTCTTCACATCTGGTACACGTGCCACATATTCCTTTCAAACCGTGACCGATCACGATTTTCCGAAACTACATTCATTGTTGTTTGATGAAAACACGCAAGGTAGCGTGTTATTAAAGTCAGAGGTGAATGACCTACTTGCTGATGCCCCCCTCCTTGCGTACCTCCGTCGAATGCCGACGTGGTCCCGCCAGAGGCGGTGACGCTCGTCCTAGAACGGACACAATTTTTACCATTACTGCTCTTTAAGTTGCTGCCACGTAAAATTTGGTATTGCATATAAATAAAAGAAATATCACCCCGTAATCCATGACCAGGCGAAGATACATTGAAATCACATTGCGTTCAGACGCAAATCGCGATGCGGGAAAACCGATTCGAAACCACCTCTAGAAGTGGTTTGGGATCGAGGCGCTTTCAATATGATTTGGAGCGTTCAGATGGGGCCACTTGAAACCGGCTTCGGGGTAAACCACATGTAAAGCGCCTTCACTGACTTCATATGAACAGGGCCTTAGTTTGGTCCCATTCGGCTCGATCCGGATACTTTTTATGCTGGTGGGAATGAGGCCTAGGTAGAGGGGAGTTGACACTTCAACCGGATAAATACAACCCGTCGGGTGGCTGGGTCACGTCCCCCACTCTGGGAGTGAACTAGACTTGTCACAACTTGAATCTGTTGTGTACTTTGGCACTGTGTTACCATATTTGGTATGGAGAGCAAAGTCAATAGGCATGTGTTATTTCTATGTGCAGGTGGTCGTTCATCTTGTTGATTAGCACAAGGCACCAGATTATATATAGGAGTGATATCATCAAGTCGGTGTAGCCAAAAAGACAGGCCTTTTTGTATCCAAGAAGAAATGCTTTTGCTTTGACTTTATTGGGATTGAGATAGACTTTAGGGCTTGTAAACGAAGGGTTAAAGGTTCAAATCCAGGTCATTTATTTTTTCCCTTAACTTTTTTTACTCATCACATCGGTTAACTAGAGGTCGGAGATCTCATGTCTTCGTCATGTCTTCGTCTAATTGGCCAGAATGTCGTTGACCTACATACAAGACAACACCAGAACAACAAAAAATAAGAACAATATAACTTCTTTTCCACATTCCTATAAAACAAAAGAGTTCAAACTTACACCACTAAATCTATATCACTATACCTATACACAATACAAAAATTTAGACTAATGCCACATTGGAACTTGAACTACAAAGAAACAAAGAAACAAACACAAAAGGTCTATTACGGGAACATATCGACCCCCTAGACTCTCATCTTTGAACTCAATCTTGGTGACTACCACAGTAACGTGCCTACCAAATTTCATTAACTACCATTAACATACACAGAAGTTATGCTGCTCCCAAGAAAATTAAGGAAATGCCCCCTGCAGTGACAACGAAACTCCCCACGAAGTCCATTAAAGAACTTAACCTTGGTCCCGGTATAGTAATCTGCTGACCAAAAATGCTGACCAAAAGCAGCATTTTACAAATACTTGAGTTATTTTGCTAACAAGCCACAAACACAAAAGGTGCACTAACGTGACGCACGGACCCCCCACGAAGCCGAAACTTGTACTTGACTTTGGCCTTAACAAAGGTAATCTGCCTGCCAAAAATCATGGACGTCGAATCATGCCTTCCAGAGTTATATTGCAAAATCCGCAGTCGCCCACGATATGCGGCGAGACAATTTCATAGTCCTTCTGACGAAGACAAATAGTGGACATAAACTGTAAAACTACAAATTGAATCGCTCCCTTCATCAATTCAATCGCTTCTTCATTTTAAAATTTCATAAAACGATGTCTATTTCAGAAAACTAAATTTTTCACTAAATATATGCACTGGGCAGGCTACACTTGCCTTTAGTTGTCAACCACATCACGACCACATGACCATCCCCCCAGTTCTTTATAATATTTACGTAACGTCGCAAGCAAATATCCGGCAGGATCGGATATTCCGCACCACATGACGCTTCTCACAGCTTTACTCATGCACAGATCCGCGGCTACACTCATACCAACTTACACCAGCTCTCCAACACTGCATGTAGTTACCATGACGTCCCCGGTCCCCGTCCTGTGCGTAGTTTTGCTGTCCGTCTGTGCGGCCGACGCGAGGAGACTGCCCCGCCAGTTTGACGTTGTTCAGCCTGACCAGGCGGCCTGTGTGCAGGACGGAGTCTCCTACCCGATCGGCGCGTCTGTGCCCGACATCGATGACGATCCATGCACGTTCGGATGCCGCTGTTACAGTCCCGGAATCGTAAGTGAGCCACAGCAATTCAGCAGCAACAATTAGGACCTTTAGGTCCAAGATTCAAAACCTTCAGAAGGTGGACTATTCGTGTCATCAGGGGGATGGAAAAATTGCTTACTTTGTCATTGTTAGTTATGCCTAATTATTAGTTATAGATTTTTCCTTTGAAAGCGCAGGAACTGCCATTTCAGATGGATCATTTTTCAAAATTCTTCGGGTACCATGGCCCCGGACCCCCTAGGAACATCGCACCTTTGGCGCTCACTGGTCCCTCAGACACTGGGAAGCCCCCCCCCCCCTCAAAAAAAATTCAAAATCCTGGCTACGGTGTGACCGTGTCATAGCAAAAAAAAACAGGTTAACCCTCCGAAATGATAATTTCATATTTTGATACTCAGAGGAAATACTATGAAAGAAAATTAAGAGAGTCATAGTCAAATCCTAAATCATAACCAAAACATATGGTCAACCATTTGACTTCAAATTAAAGGTTTATTTTGTTAAACAGCTGCATGCTAGGTCTTTGCTGTTGTTATTCCTTACATTTGCATGTTGCACAGATACACTGCGCCACGGTGAAGACCGCCCGGGCCTGCCTGCGCCCGGACCTGCCGTGCGTGGACGCCGTGGCTGTGTACCACCCGCACCACTGCTGCCCCACTTGGACCTGTCCTAACGGTGAGAAATAGCAGATGTATTATTAATGCTACAGTTATCTAGATACTTGCAAAAGGGGCTACCGCCGTCATGTAAATATCCGGCGTTTGGTGACGGCGTGTACGTGAACGACCCGACCCGTTTCTGTCCCTACATTACCTGTCTTGAAGAGACGTAAAATATATATAGATATTATTTTAAATCTAGAAAGGCCGACATTTGCTTGGGGAAAATACAGCATATTTCAGCACGTTTACCTATTTCAAAATGGATTGTTCCAAATAATGGTGTGTTTCAATACCCTTAAGTCCACACCAATTGTTCACCAATTAAATGCTACCTGAAACGTCTGACCGTTTCCAAAATTATATCCAGTTGCTAGAGTAACTGCTTTTTGGCGTAACTTACTACCTGGATGTCTAACCTTCATCGACGTACCCACGTACATACGCCATTGGCGTAAGGTAATATAAATAAAAACCTGAGGGTATTTGGCAACTCTATATCTATCGTTAAAGTTTATCCCCAACCTTCCAGCGGTGCAAACTAAATGGTTTAAGATGGGTTGGTCATGTGGTGAACTGTCTGGTTAGACAAATTAACGACTGTGAAACCGCTATCGCCCAAGGTCGTTTTTTTTTTCCTCCATGTCATTTTTAAGTTATTTGGCCCATAATCATGTGCTTTGCTGGTTGAGGTTTCTGTGTGCATGACGCAATAATAACTTGACTAATTGAACAAATGGACATTTTACTGGTACTCTTCCAGTTAAGCCATCCCGGCAGGACAGACGGTGTACGTGAGCGGCCAGCAGTGTTACTGTGCGGGCATTTCTGCGATGTGTATCCCGGTACCCATCAAAACCACCACTGCAGTCCCCACCACTACAGCTACTCAATTCATCACTCTTTAAATCACCAATCCGACCCCAACACTCCCATTCCCAACAACAACCCCGTCTACACCACCCCCTCCACCCCCACTCCCAAAAACCCAGTCTACACCACCTCCACTCCCAACAACCCCACTNTACACCACCCCTCGCACCCTCACTCCCAACCAAACAATACCCACTCTACACCCACCCCCACCCTCCCAACCAAC